TATTGAATCTTCCCAGTAAGCTGCCTTTTTATATTGTATCTACCATCTTTGTTATATATTTTTAAATGTTAATTGTCCTTGTTTGTTATGTAATTTTAACTTTATCATATGATCTTAATTGTGTAGGACTACAGATGGAAATTAGCATTGTGCTAAATCTGGTGCAGCCATCTTTTTAATGTAACTGCACATTGTCCTGATATAAATAAAATAAACAAACAAACAAACAATAAACAAATCCCTCAGGTTGTGTTCGGGTCATTTTGACCTGAAAGAATCTACCCGTACCCGAAAATGCTAGGTAATGTTATTGCATTGGACTAAAATTTACCGTCTTTACTCATCCAGAGTCTAACAACTTCCCCCAAAAAATGTATACTTTTTGTGGGATTTTTCCACATTGTAACACTTGTGATGTTCAGGAAACATCAAATTACTTATAAATATCTCATTATGCTACATCATCTTTTTGGAATTGATCAGTCGTAGGCCTTATTTATCTGAGCTTACATACCTCAGTTTTTGAGTGAAAAAAAAAACATTATTTATAATAAAATATATTTTAAAAAAAAAGCTTTTTTCACAAAGATTGAAACCAATATTTGGTGATAAAATAGCATACCAGGCTATTTTCTTTTAAGGCTGGCCATTTTTGACCGTGAACACCACAAGTGTGATTTTGTACCATGTTGTACAACATAAAAGCATTTCAAAACTAATTTTCTGGTTAAACATTAAAGCACACTAGTGTGAAAAACAGTGTAATTTTCATATGTTATGTACAATTGACAAAATTATCCACAAATAAAGCTTTTTTCACTCAAACACTGAGGTACATGAGCTCAGATAAATCAGGCCTATGATCGATGAGTTCCAAAAGTAAATACAAAACCTGTCCTAATTGAAAGAAAACAAGCTGACAAAAAGATTGAATCCAATATTTTGGTGATAAGGTAGCATAACGAAAGATTTATAAGCAATTTTTTGCAGGTCGGTCATTTTTGACCGGGAACATCACAAGTGTTATAGGGTTTTTGACACAGCACAAGGTTAAAGCACAAGAGAGTAAATGGACTACATAATATGGTAAATGATGATGTGCATGTGCATGTGAAATGACCTATAATCAATATATCTCTTGCTGTTTTTCCTGGTTTCATGGTCACTTTACACAACAGACAAAAAGCTCCTTTTGCCTTCACAATATGCTGAATTCTGTGCATTATGGTTTTAGAAGAGCACTGGAAACATTCCTTGGGGATTTCTGTCCATGCTGACTCACTTCATGCAGTTTCACATCATACTTTAAAACCTTCTGAAGGCTATAAATTTGAAAATGGGTAGTTTGTGGCTATATGGGGATGCACATAATCAAAGCAATGCTCAGTCAACCTGCGTCATTCGGCTGATGGCCGGTTGGTCTAATGTGTCACAAGAAAACCTCTCCAGGGCTGTTACACTAGCGTCACCGCTGTGCCCTGTTGACACAAGGCAGGAAGGATGTGTGGATTTATGATGTGCCAGATTCTGACCATTCCATCTGCCTTTCGCAGGCAGGATTTTGCAAGCCATGCCGTGTCTATCCAATTTTAGCTATTCAGATTTGGTGATCATGTGTGAATTGTAGCCTCTGTTTCCTCTTCCCAGCTGGAACTAAGCTTCTTTGCTCAGGATTAGGAAAGGAGCTTGGAAGAGCTGCATACAACACTGCAGACAACAGATTCATTCCTACAACAGAATGTCTGCTTATATTCAGTTAAGTTACAAATCTTGAGATGACAATCAAGTTTGATGTTGCAATATGTAATGTCCACATGTCAAATGATCATGCGACTAAATCTCAAAACATCTATGTAGAATGTAATTTTCAGGTTTTAATATCATGCCATCAGTGATGATTACCTGAAAGGCATCATACAATATTCAAACACTGACTGTGATTGGCAGTCAACTGTGGTGTATTGCATGTTCTTAAAGGTGCAGTAAGCGATTAATGAAAATGGATCAGACCGAGCAACGAGCCCGTTCTCATCCCAAGGCGTAATATACTGACTCTTTTGCCAAAGCGTCTATATCCCACGCACATGGCACCCTTTAGCGTCATATGAGACGCAGATATATGGCGCCTCCTAGTGGTCTAACCCTAAAACTACCCCAGACCTAAACCTACCCAAAACCGAAGCGTGTTATATTGACGCTAAAGGGTGCCATATGCGTTGGATATAGACGCTTTGGCAAAAGAGTCAATATATTACGCTTTGGGATGAGAATGCGTTGGAGCAACACAGCAAACTTGTAGCCAATCAGTTGCAGTGTCATGGTTCTGCCATCATGTTATTGATTATTCCTAGTCTTGTGGCAGGATCATGACAGAACCATGTTTTGTGTACAAGCGCATGGCCAATTGTTTGGCCATGTGCTTGTGGTGTCTCGTTACGTTACCCCGCCCCCTTGTTATCCTCATCTTGTGATTATTGTCTAGTCAGTTTCACCTGTCCTCGTCATTAGTGTTCCCTTTATAATCCCCTTGTGTTTGCTGTCCTGTGTCGGTTCATTGTTTGATGTAAGTGACATACGTTGTGTGCATCTAGCTGTGAGTAATTTGTTGGAAGTCTTGTTTAAGAGAAATATTTGTTCCTGTCTTAGTTGTTAGTTTATTGTCTGAGTCTGAGTCTTAGTCTAGTGTATCCTGTCTTGTTTTGCCCCATCGAGGGTTTTGTTTTCTGTTTTTGTCGTCAATAAACCCCTGTTTGTATTATTTGCTGTCTGCAATTGGGTTCATCCTTCTGCCACATAACATGCAGGGTGTGCTCATAATGGGGGAGGAGAGAAAGTGAGCAAGAGGGAGATTTGAAGAAAGACTGTTTGAGAAACTTTACAAAAGAGAAAAGGTCAGAGGAATATTTCTGGAACAATAAGGGTTATGATCAGGCAAGAGCTTAGGACCCGTGCTAATATTAGAAAAGCTTTCCAGCGGTGCGGGAAGGCCTGAAAACAGAGGGTGTATTTGTTGATTTCAAATATCAACAGTGTTCAACAATGATGCTCGGAAATCTCTTACTGCACCTTTAATGTGTATCCCAGTACCATTTTACAGAGTTTCTTTGGGTATAATCACTTCCTCCCAACTTCTCATCAAGGGACCCTGTGGCTCTTCAGAGTCATTGGGAATGCATAGTGCTTTCAGAGGTTTGTTTTTACTCAAAAAGCTGTCATGACAAGAAATTTTTTTTTGGTAATGCTTTAGATTACAGCCCGGAAAGTACTGTGTAATTAAGAGGAATTTACAGTGTAACTTTCTGTAATTATAGTGTACCTATAAAGTACTTGCATGTAAGTATAAGGGAACAATATGTAAAGTTTGGGGAATAAAGGGGTAACAACCAGGAGAATTAAAAAAATATTTATACTGTAAGTATTATAGAACTAAGGGGTACTTATTCTACTATTATGATATAACAATCTTACATTTGTGATCAATTTAGCAAGAACATACACGGCGTACCTTTTTGTAATAATTGTGTACCAATACATACTGTATAGGCTTTTTAAAAATGACAGGGTACATACAGTATATAGGCATTTATACAATTCTTTATTTAATTTTTGATAGCAAAAGTGCAGATGTTTCAGTTTGGGCTAACATGTTTCAAGGCAAGAAAAGCTAAGACTATTGCAATTTTTTTAAATACTGGGAAATATATCTTGTTTGATGTAGTTACAGGGTAAGTGGTGCTTGTATAATAAATAAAGGTTTCCGAGTCAGTGATATAAAACTGTGTATGCATTTTTATTGTACTTACCCTGTAACTACATGAAACAAGAGGGTATAACAAGCACCACTTTAATTTACAGCCCGCAATGTTACACTTACCCTGTAACTACATGGAACAAGAGGGTAACAAGCACCACTTTAATTTACAGCCCGCAATGTCACACTTACCCTGTAACTACATGGAACAAGAGGGTAACAAGCACCACTACATGAAACAATTGTATCTTTCCCCAATATTTAAGCAAAAGTTGCAATAGTTTTCGTTTTCAGTGCACTTTTGTTAAAAAGATTACTTTATAAATGCATAGATATGTACCCTGTAATTTTTAAAAAGCCTGTAATTTTACAGTATGTACTGGTTCACCGTTATTTCAAAAAGGAATGCAGTGTATGTTCTTGCTAAATTGCTCCCACATGTAAGATTGTTATATCATAATAGTAGAATAAGCACCATTTAGTTCTTTAATTTCAAGTATAAATAATTGTTTAATTCTCCTGGTTGTTACCCCTTTATTCCCCAAACTTAAAATATTGTTCCCTTATACTTATATTGTAAGTGCGTTATAGGTACACTATAATTACCGAAGGTTATGCTGTAAAATTGCTTTAATTACGCAGTACTTTCCGGGCTGTAATCTAAAGCGTTACCAACATTTTCTACCACACGCACAAAACCTGTGGTATTTACCTTTTCACAAAAGGATTTCACAGAAAGATTCGCCAGAAATTCAAATGGAAAAGCGACATGTTGTACACAGGGGTTTTACACACAAATCTGAAATATTGCTTTAGTTTTGTTTTCAATGTGTTTTTAGTATGAATATCAGGAGACAGCGAGGGACACTTTACTGACTGCTGCCTGTATATCAGTCATTTTTTATTGGACTTCAAGGAATGTAAAATAGTAATTTCTTGCAACTGAAAGAGCATGCTTACCATTGAAACAGTCTTTCAATAATTTAATTTAGGGATTTTTTTCGGATATAGTGATGAATTTCAGTAAACCTACTTAATTAAAACCATATATATTGTAAAAAAAAAAAAAAAAAGCTATACAAATAAATCTGATTTGACATGACTGTTTACCCCCCATTACTGTTGCTGAATGATATTCTACTGATCCAAAGTCATATAGCAAAATGCAGGCAGTCCTTCTGCGTGCCACAATAATACAGAACCCTCTAGTGGTCATATGAAGAAATGAAGCAAATGTGCGACGCGTCACCAAGTTCTCAGAGCTGGAGGAGGAGGAGACCTGGACTGGAGCACTGGGGTCCACACTGAGCCACTGTAATGCAGTTTGGAGTGGTCGCTGAGGATGCCACCAGAAGTTGCCTCTCCATAACACCTGCAGTGCATCGGCACTATGGTTTTACTGGCTTAAGAGCTTGTAAGTTGCTTGTTAGTTTATTCTACCTCAAACAATTGTTTTAGATAGTTCACATGATATTTCAGGTTATGCCATCACATGAAAGTGTAGGTGTAACGAGATGTTTAGCATGCAACATTTTATAAATAGGCTCACAAAGTAACGGATCCAGTTGAACAATCTGAAGACAACTTCCAACAGTGATGATGATGACGATGATGAAACTCACCATGAACCGACCAGCCAACACCATCGGACCAAGCCAGTAAAAGTCGTCTTTATGGAGTTTTAAAATGACATTTTCTAAACTGCTGAACGAGAGCAAGGATGAATTCCCCTCGGACTTTCTCTCCAACATCAGCAACACCTCCTGTGAGGGAATCGCCGTCGACTCTCAAGTCATCGGTGTGGGAATCTTTCTTGCCATCTTCATTTTGCTGGCGATCGTGGGGAACATTTTGGTTATTCTCTCGGTCCTTTGCAACAAACATTTGCAGACGGTCACCAACTTCTTCATTGTGAACCTGGCCATAGCGGACCTTCTGCTGAGTATCATTGTCCTGCCGTTCTCTGCGTCTCTGGAGGTATTTGGATGCTGGGTGTTCGGTCGGGTTTTCTGCAACATCTGGGCAGCGGTGGATGTGCTCTGTTGCACGGCGTCTATTTTAAGTTTGTGCATTATATCCATAGACAGGTACATCGGGGTGAAATACTGTCTGAAATACCCCACTATCATGACTGAACGGAAAGCAGGTGTCATCCTCGTGGTGGTCTGGGTTTCTTCAATGGTGATTTCTATCGGACCGCTTTTGGGATGGAAAGAACCTCCACCTTCTGATGAAAGCATCTGCAGCATCACGGAGGAACCGGGCTATGCTCTGTTCTCCTCCTTATTCTCCTTCTACCTACCACTCATGGTGATTTTAGTCATGTACACTAGAGTATACATCGTGGCCCGCAGGACTACAAAAAGTTTGGAAGCGGGTGTGAAACGGGAAAGAGATAAATCAATGGAGGTGGTGCTGAGGATACATTGCAGGAGCATTCCGGAGGATTCGAACTCGAAAACAAAAAATCACCCGTTCAGAAGTTCATTGTCCGTGAGACTCATGAAGTTCTCCAGGGAGAAGAAAGCTGCTAAAACCCTCGCCATCGTCGTGGGCATGTTCATTCTCTGTTGGCTACCGTTTTTCTTCGTCTTGCCTTTGGGTATGTAGGCTATACGAGTTATTATTTGTTTTTCATACTTTGTTTTTTTATTTACAGAGCAAATTTTTAAAACGTCTTGCTTTACAATTTGTTTAAAAGTAAAACCAAAGTAAATTACATGTCTTTGCAACGAGTAGAAATGCCAGAAATTATTGTGACAGTGTAAATGGATGTTATTAGCCTACATCATCATTATTTGTGTACAAATTTATATAAAAATTTGCCACGAATAATAATGGAATTAAACAAAAATCCTTTAATAATCAAATAAGATCCTACTGTATAAAATAACATTGCAACAGTATTTTTGATTGTTTCACTGGACAGTTAGCTAGGAGTTTTAAAATATTTAATTCTTGCAGGAACATTCGATCTTGCTGAGAAATGTATTTTCTAAATATACTTTTTTTTTTGTTAGGCTATGTTTTTCCTATGAGACAATTAATTAGGAAACAAGATTGGTTCCAGAAGAAAATTTATTAGATAATCCACTGTTTATTGTTTATATCTTTCGTTGTCTGTTTTATTTCTTTTGTCAATTTGAAATGTAAAAAAAAAAAAATGCACTTAGGCAAATAATTTTCTGCATCTGCCAAAGGCTACGTAAACAAATTACATAAAATGGTATGTTTGTTGATAATTTTATAGTAATTTAAAGTAGCCAATGTTTTATGCCTTGAAATGCATGTGAAATACACGTCTATTTCGATACTGCGTGTTCATGTTTTATCTACTCCGTGGCCAGGGAAACAAAAATGTGCGAAATGCGTATCCTGATAGCACACAAGACAAGAGCTGTTATCTGAATGTTAATTACTTGCGCTTTTCTTACTGACGAAAGCAGTTCCACGCATCACTTTTTCTATTACATTCACAGTTAATACGATTAAATTAGATGGTAGCCTGTTTGCACATGGCGTGGAGTTTTGGTCAGCATTTGATAGCTGCTCAACCGGAGGGGAGATTGTTTTGATTTGCTAAACTTGATGTGCTCTCTTTTCAATGTGCAACGATCTTTGTTTTGGAGAACATTATGTTCTGTTGGATTCAAGTATAGGCTACGTAATGGAGCATGTTGGATGTGGATTGGATAGATAGATAGATAGATAGATAGATAGATAGATAGATAGATAGATAGATAGATAGATAGATAGATAGATAGATAGATAGATAGATAGATAGATAGATAGATAGATAGATAGATAGATAGATAGATAGATAGATTGCACATAACAACAGTGCACATGCTGACATTGTCAAAACAAAGCAAAGACTGAGGCTTGAGAGATTAATGCACAATCTTCCTTTATAAAGTTTATAAACTCCTTTTTATAAAGCAATGGTATGAAAAGTTCATAAAAATGTGCTTTGTTTTCTCTTGAATCATGCATGCAATCAGTCAATAACAGTTCATTTGTGACAGTACAGATCTTATCTCATAATATTCCCTCACGCCTCTATTCGGGTTTTCATGTTCTCAAGCAGCCAAAAATGAGCTGTGGCCCATTTAGTTATATTACCCATGATTGTACAATATTAACCCAACACAATAATCAAGGGCTCACAAAAAGCAGTACATCCAAAAGTTTCAAACGTTTTTCTATAAAACACACAATCATGTCAAAATTTTCACCAAACCCCATGAAAAACAAAAAGTTGTGCAATGCTTAAGTTATTAAGTTTTGCATCCCAGGGTTAATAACTATACCTGAATCCTGCATAGAAAAAAAAAAGATGTTTGGGATATTCCGCTCAAAAACCACCCATGGGAGACTGAAGGAAAGACATTAAATTCAGTGTTCCAGTCACGTAACCATTACCCAAGAATATGTCACAGAGGCCCAAAAATGTGCTAGTAAAGGGGGAAAAACAGTATTCCATTACATTAAAGGAATTTTGGTATTGCTGACAGGCATGAAATGGGTACAGTATCTAAACAAGCAAACAAATAGTAATGATTATGATGTTGACTATTATTGATAATTTACTGAGATAATTAAAATTTAGGCTACATTAAAAAGAATAAAAAAAATAAAAAACATGGCTGGCATTGTACATTCCCCACAATTTATTGGTTTCCCCCCAAACCAACCATCCCATCCATCTCCAGGGTATTCCAAAAGTGTGGGTTTTGACAGTCCCTGCTGGTATTCCACTCGCAGTCACTGTGGGGAAAAATAGGGCAGCAGTGGTTGATAACATCTTCTGGAAAGATATACATGTGGTACTGGTGAAATTCTGGGATCAAGATGGTTTGGGAAGAGGGGCCTGACTTTATTCAGCCTGAGAAAAGGAAGGAGGCACTTTCACTCAGGTCCCTAACCTCTTTTTGCCCAACGCTCCACTGCCTTAATCACGGCTATTAACAAGTTGAGCTAAAGAGGGTGCTTTCGTTTTCCAAAGCCTCAGAAGCAGCCAGCCACCAGGACAGAGGAGGGATATGACATGGCTTAGATCCACACGTACACTGGAGAAGCACGAACTGTGAGTCGCTGCGTTACAAATGAATGGTTGAATGACGTTTCAGTGTCAATGCATTTGGAATATTCTACTTATGGTATTATATATTATGGTTATTAAAAATGTAATTTCAAAATTCTGATTGGTCATTCAGCAGCCTGATATTTCCTAAAATCCCATGCACGGTATATCCGTCCACTCATCCGGGTAACTGTAACCGGCGCAACTTTCACGTCTCTCTCTCTGCAGACTTATTCTGTCTTGTTTCATACAAACAAAACTGACGCCATCTTGCATCTTAGTTGGTGAAAATGACCTCAGACCACTTCAGTATTAACATTGCTGTGATATTGTTCATATTTTTCCTGGACCAATTGTTTTGTACATGGTAATGGACAATTTTTTTTTTCTTGTTGGAAGTTTTAAGGTAATATACATAAGATTAGGAAAAAATTTCAACCCAAATCAGTGTTTAATGTTCGTCTATTTTTGTGAGTAGCTGTGCAATGAGCGGGATAAGTACAATCAGCCTGTTAATAAACACCCCTCTGCTCCACTTATATAATTGTCATTTTTGTGGCGCAAGGTTTTAAAATGACAGGTCCACCCTCTTAATGATGGTTATATTTTTAGCAACAGCATGTCCACACTGTTATTGTTGTGATGGATCAGGGGAATATTTTGCATATGGCATATGTTTGTGCTGGAAAGTGAGTCTTACTTCTGGTGACAAACAGAACCAGATGTTTCTGCACTCCTAAAAAGAATATATTTTTTAAATTACATAGGTAAATATTATGTGACTGATAAATGCATTGCCAGGTTTACTGATTTCAATTTAAAACATTTTATGACGTTATAGTAATTTAAGAGTGTGTAAGTGATTAATCCAAGAAATGCAACACATTAATGTATTTGTGTGTGTGTGTGTGTTGAGAGAGTATATTGAATATTTATGATATACAGTATTTACAATGAATTGGCAATGTAAGATTATGCAACACTACGAATTTCATTTCACTATGATTTTAATCTGTATTATTTGGCCATGAAGTTTCCTAAATCCCATCTCTTTAGACCATTTCTTTAGGAGATTTGCTGCTGTCCTAAAGAAAACTACAAGCTACTTTCATGAAATGAAATGGCATGTACATACCTTGACAGTTAACTGCAAGGTCTATTGATTTCAATATGTAATAATTGTAAACATTGTCATTATAGTAATTTGAGAGTATGTTTACGTGAATAATCCAAAGTCCAGAGAACGGGCCTTTTTTCAGGTTACTTGTGTATGTGTGTTATGTGATATATTTGCAATAAATTTTCTGGCAATGTAAGGTTATGCAACATTATAAATTTCACAATGACTTAAGTTTCACTAATACCATCTCATATAAGACTACTGTGATTGTGCTTTGTGAGTTTTAATAAATGTTTTAATAGTGTCTCTGATTATAAACCTAGCAGAAAAATAGTAGGTAAGTCATATCCATAGCTGTGAAAAACGTTGCCTGCCTGTTAAAATGATCCTTTACCTTTTTGAACCAAGCTGTCATGTCAGCTTCTAATACATTTAATTCAAATTGACACAGAATGCAGCTTGACAGGAACTTACACATGTAGCCAATAGCCATAGGCCGTGAAAATATTTCTTCAGGTGATCAGTATAAGATGAGACAGCTTTAACGTGTGGCTTCCTGCCAAAACACTATAGCTCAAGTGGCTCGTGCCAGGCAAATGCAATGCTAGAAAGCAAATTCAAGACCACAAGAACACATTCAACCCTCTCAGCTTACAGCTTTAAATGAATTGCCCCTCTGACTGCCTCATCATTATTAAAAATGTTCTTCACACTAAGGAAAATATGGTTCTTTTTGGAAATGTTCACTGAAAGGTTCCTTGGAGGTTCTTCTATGGCATCACTACCCCCTTTTGAATCCTTTATTTTTAAGAGTGTAAAGAACATGAATGTCAATTTGGATATTTTATTAATAAGGTCAATTTGCTAACAAAGTGCCAACTATACCCATTTCCTTAACTTATAATTAGCATCCGCATCCATAATTCAGAAATGTATACACATCGTTTGGCTTACTGATTATGCTTTCAGCTACCAGTAAGTGTCTACTTTAGTTTGGCTTGCTTTTCTAAATCCTTTTAGCAGAATTCCTCAGATGTTATTCCCTTAAAATCAGAACTAAAAGAGTCAGAAGATCCACTTTTTCTGCAGTGGGAATAGGGGCTGCTACATTGTACACGATGCTTTGAAAAAAAACAAAAAAAAAAACAACAGGGAGTTTTCTCTCAGTAGCCACCAAACATCCTGCCTGGTGTATCTCAAAATCACTACAATTACCAAAAAGGAGCTTTCCAGGGAAAGCTTTCATCTCACAGTCCAAATTACGACCTTTACGCAAGAGGGAGAGCAGCATATCTCTTTGTTCATCAAAAACTGTTTCAACAAGACTGCACTAATTCCCAGTCCGTCCATACTATCTATTCCCCCTGGTGCTATTTTTACACATATCCACTGACAGGAAGGGACTCTGACCTCTCGTGACACTGAAATGCATGGCATGGGCGATGACAACACTGTTTATGTGAGATACTGCAAAGCTAGCCTCCTCTCACTCCTCGTGGGGGAAAAGCAAGGCAAGGAGGAGGTATTGGCAACATATGTGGTGTCTGTCGGAGGAAGTTTAGATGTGTATGTGTGGGAGGAGAGAATGTGAAGACAGACACAATGTAGACAGAGATCCATCTAGACCAAATATGCTCTATATCTTCAGTTCGTGCATGCCTGCTGCAACTAAAAGAATGGTTTGGTATTTAAAGTCAGTATGAAATCCAATTGAGCCTATTTGCTAGGGATAGTTCACCCAAAAATGTCATCATTTACTCTCCAAATCAGTAGAAAATATTTGGATTTTTATCGGCCATACAATGAAAGTTAATGAGGGGCCAATGGTGTGTTAGACTGATATGATTTACGTTGTATGGACAAAAAGTTTTGAGGAAAAGTCTTAAGAAAGAAAGGTTCCATCTTGGGTTTCCAAAGAACCTTTCACTGAACCGTTCTTAAAATAACCATTATTTTCTTAATAACATTTTAATATTCTAAAGAGCCATTTTCCACTATAAAGAACATTTTGTGCATTGGAAAGGTTCTATGGATTTGAAAGGTTCTTCCTGGAAATATCAATGCCAATAAAGTGCCTTTAGTTTTTAAAAGCAAGTTAATTTTGGGATAAACCATCAATTTAATGCATGATTCTGGTCTTATTGTGAACTTATTGATTCACTGGTGCATGTTACTCCAAAGCAAACTATTTGTATTCATAATCTTTGATCAAAATGCAACAACTTGCCTCCCCTGAAACTATTTTATATTTCCACTGACGTCACGTTGGGTAACATTAACCAATAGGCGAAAAGCTATTTAGGCAATGCTTTATCAGACCTACATTTGGTCCACCAACTTTTCACGTTCCAATCAATTCCCAATAGATAAAATCAAGTCTCGCCTTGCATTTGTTTCGTTTAATATATTTTGCTCAGAGATTACTGCAGAAAAATAGGTTTGCAAGCGGCAGTTCATGCTGATTGTGATGACTAATGGGCTTGTGTGGCCAGTCTATCAATGTTAATGGTGCTTGTTTGGTTTGGAGGAGAATTTGGGAATGACATATTGGCATTGCTCCCACTCTTCAGACAGAAAAAAAAAAATAGAACTAGTTTCAAAAAGACTGTTAGAAAATATCCCATGTGCATTATATTTCTTCAGTGAGCTGGAGGAAAAAAACAAAGTATATAATCTGTCTGCTGGGTATAATTAGGCACACATGGTTTTAAACGGTGAACTTGCAGATTTGAACTTTTCAGCGCGTGGGAGGAGAATGGTAGCTTCAGGCTAAAGTTACTTGAGGCACGGCATTATTTCCCATGTACATAATCTCTCTTGAGCCGACAACTAAATATTTCTCTACCTCTCTCTCTCTCTCTCTCTTTATTTGCGTCCTCAGGATCTTTCTTCCCAGCTCTGAAGCCTTCTGAGATGGTGTTCAAAGTAATCTTCTGGCTGGGCTACTTCAACAGTTGCATTAACCCCGTAATTTACCCTTGCTCGAGCAAGGAATTCCAGCGCGCCTTCACCCGTCTTCTGCGCTGCCAGTGCCAGCGGCGGCGCCGCGTCCTGCGCCGGTTCTACGATCAGCGTTGGAGAACGGCCATGCGGGGACCCCGGAGGGACCCGCACAGAGACTACTGCTCTGGATTACCCTTTCACGAGCAGTGCGGTAACTCTTTATATTCCTGCCAGAGCAAAAGCCGGCCTCTTAGTCTGAAGGGCTGGAGCTTCTTCCCCCCTTTACAGAAGTCCTCCTTCCAGCTGAAGGAGAAAATGAACAACATTTCCAATAAGATCAAGAATGGTACGGGGAAGAGTAGCACGTCTCCTCTGGCCCGGACAGAGATCGACACCGTCTCAATGGGGATTTATAATGACTGCGCCGATCAGAGCGGCTACCAGATCTACGACCTCACAGAGTGCTACGGCCTGAAGGAAACAGACATCTAAACAAAGACAGAGCTTACTCTCTGTTTTCTCAGAGCTCTGACCCACTGCCAGCTCTTTGTTAAATCTATCATGGCTTCGACACTGTTGAGAAGCAAATCTGAGGAAAAATTATATTGTGTGTTAAAGGAGATTAATGCATTTCCACATGGATAGGCTAATTTAAAAATATTACTTTAAAAGTGGGAAAAGTACACTGAATGGAAATATGTGACCCTGGATCACAAAACCAGTCACAAGTTGCACGGGTATATTTGTGGCAATAGCCAACAATACATTGTATGGGTCGAAATGATCGATTTTTCTTTCATGCCAAAAATCATTAGGATATTAAGTAAAGATCATGTTCCATGAAGATATTTTGTAAATGTCCTACCGTGAATATATAAAACATTGTATGTTTGTGAGTGAATGCAGCATAATCGCAAACATAAATGGACAACTTTAAAGACGATTTTCTCAATGTTTCGATTTTTTTGCACCCTCAGATGCCAGATTTCCAAATAGTTGTATCTCGGCCAACAATTGTCCTATCCTAACAAACCATACATCAATGGAAAGCTTTCAGATGATGTATAAATCTCAATTTAAAAAAATTTTACCCATGTGACTGGTTTTGTGGTCCAGGGTCTCATATTATGAAAAAAAAAAAAAACGTATCTGCACTGGACCAGAATGAAAAGACTCATAGCTGCTGGGTGTCTGTATACTGTGTTGTCCATGTGGCCTTTGCGAAACAGTCAAACAGTTTCAAACACTCTGATGACCAGCAACGTATTTTCAATGAGTGATTGTTACAATTACTTTGACCGGTTGTCCATTAAGTGTGAATGGAGAATATATTTAACTGTGATGTACTCAAGAGACTGTTGAAACCATGATACTGATTCCTTTTGACATAATGATTCACCGTGATTCGCAGATTACTTGGAATTCACTTTTAAATGATTCGAAATTGATTTAGAGGTACATACCATTAAATGTGAGGCACAATTTGTAATTGAAATGGATTTTGTGCAGATGTTTTCAGTATTTCAGAGGGTAGTTGAATACTGTGTGCTATTCATGCTTTTCTTATTTCAACCATGAGATTTTCAGTCATCTCTAAGAGAACCAATAGTAAAAAAAAAAAAAAAAAAAAACATAATTAATGGACTACAACTCAATTCTTTTTTTGTGTTGTTGATAAAAGCTTTGGGTTTCTTTGTAATGCTGATGTGACGACGTCTTTCAGTGTCAACTATAAAGCATAATAAATCTGAAAAGAGCATGCAGTTGATCTCATATTTGATGAATCCTAAGAATAATGAAATTGTTTTGTTCAAACGACTATGCCCATAAAAAAAAATCACAAGTCTTTAATAATGTATTTCCTGCACAGAAATGAGATTATATTAAAATCAATTTGAGACTCTTGCTTTACTCCAGAGAATAATAAAAAATAAAAATAAATGATAAGAAGTAATATTTAAGATTCCAAACCATCTCTAGGCAAAGGCTATGTTCAGACTGCAGGCAAATCAGATTGTTTCTCAAATCAGATCTTTTCAGGCAGACTGTCCACACTATTAATTGCAAGTGATCAAATAAGAGTTGTGTGCCCAGAAGCAACCTATCTGCATGGGTTGATTTGCATAACGTATGCGTTACCCACATGTGACGAGGCTTTCAAAATGGATGTAGGAAAACTGAAAGTGCATCATCTTTCTCTCCAAATAAGCATCCTGTCACGTCACGGTGCATAACCTGGAGACTGGTATATAAGTATATGAACATATGAATACTTCTGGCATTTCCGTCACCAGTTTTGACTTTGTCGTTGTGTGACGCCTTAAGAGTGATGCAAAGGAAAATTTGAAATCTGATTCGAACAACAAGAGCATCCAGACTGAGATGTTTCAGTAAAAATCTGATTGGAATCGGATTTCAAACCATGTGAAATCTGAAAAAAAAAAAAATTTGATTTCGTTTTTTTTTTTTTTTTTTTTTTTTTTTTTTTTTTTGCTGTCCAGACTTTCAAAAACCCATCTGGATAAGATCTGAATATTCAAAAAATTAGATTTTTTCTGGTAGTCTGAACATAGCCTAGGTCGCTGCTCAAATAAACAAATGTGTGACTCCTTTGTACAAAGGGTTAGATGTTCTTGCTTCAATTGAAGCATACAAAACTCTTTGGAACATTATCAAATCATGCCAGAGAACATGATTATAAAGTTTTACAAACATTGTGGAGTACATGCTGCTCAAGTACTGATGACATTTAAGCAACAAAAAGGACATTCCAAGACATTTTGAAACTCATTCCTTGTATCTAGAAGGGATTTCAACAATGTGACATGCTGTGCTCCGATTTACCAGGAAACCAAATCTGCAATCAAAAGTAAGAGAAATAAAAATGAAATAGCTTTGCTATCCCCATACATTTTATAGCTCTGTACTGTATGATCTTGAACTATCATTGCCCATCAACATTTCCCATCAACTGATTTATTGCTGCATTCACTTCCTCCCAAAAAAAGATGGCCAGTAGAGGTCGCTGTTAATAAAAAAAAGGCAAATTCCTACAAATTTTACAACACTGAATCGTTTCACATTATGCATAATTATAAAAGTGACAAGCGTGTGGGTGTGAAGATGACTCGTGAGTATTACATACTATAAGTGCAAACTAACTTTTTTGAAAAACGGTTTCCTTTTCCATTTAAGATTTCTGAGAACTTCCTGAAGAGTAAATCAACGTGAGTCCCTGTTTCCTGTGGATTACTGAAGACTAACATCAACATGCATAACAGTTCTTAATGGGTTCCTTCAGCTAAGCACTTGTATGTTTTCACTTGTCACATAATGTTTTTACGTAAGCTTAATTTCACTGTCATTCGCTAAGTGCCATAAAAGTCTAAAAAAAGAGCACTGCAGTGAATGGCTGGGCAAAGAGTTAAAAGGAACATTAGCTTCGTTTAAAAAAACATAGCATGATGCTGAATGTTTTCCAGAGATGAGTTCCATTATTAAAATTCTATAAATTTTTGAGAACCCCCACCCCCCAGCTCCTTTATCTTTGCTTACCTCATTATTGAAGCAGGCAGACCAGCTGGTGCCATTTCTCTGTGCAGCATGTCATTTCATAAGAATTACATCAAGAAAACGTGATCACGACTATTTGATTTAATTGCCATCATTTTTTCATTATTTGTTCTCATACATATTTTAGCAATGACTCTGATGTTCTGCAGGTCACTGGTTCAAATCTGTGACAGGGCAGGATGTGTCACATGCCTTCGGAGTGTTTCTTTTGACAGGCACTCTTTGTACAGTGTACTGTAACCTCTCTCTCAAATGCCAAAAAACCTTCTGTTCTTGGTTGTTCCTCGTCATGTTTATTATCATACAGCCATATTTTGTTAAACATACCAGAACTTTTTCTGCAAAGGACATAATGTGCGTTTAAAATGTGTTCTTAACCATTTTAGAATTCAACTGTAACAGCTTGTACCACAGAATGCTCATAATTCAAAAGGTAAAGAACTGTTTGTTACCAAAAGAGAGTGCAGAAAAATTATGTATAATTTGCTGCAGAGCACCAAATCTGAGAAAAAAAAAAAAAGATAAATGCAAGCCAGACATCTAATTTATTCACAGAGTAAACATAAATAAGTGGAAGAAAACATTTTACAGGAAGTTCAACACCAAATCACAATGTTTGCATGCACTTTATGGCTTACTGTGCTGTTAGTCTTGGCTGGGTTATTCCCATTTAACTGGGATTCATGTCATGTCATTTTTATTATTATTTGGAACCCATTATGAGGTTCCATAATGTGTAAATATTTTAAATCTATTAAAGACTTAAAACAAAGAATACCTTTGGTCACCCATACGGCAAACATATATTTTCAGTAGAGCTGCACGATTAATTGTTAAAAGATCGAGATCGAGATTCAAAAACCCACGCGACCTCGTTCCTACAGTAAATGACAACGATTCGCCCGAGTCGATTGAATCTTTGAAAAAATCACACCGGAACATTCAAATTTGAGTTGGTGCTGCTGCTGACCCAGAGAGTTATCATGTAGTACCGTAAAACTTCAAATAGTAGCCCGGGCTTTTATTTACCCAAATCGTCGAACTGCACCGGAGACAGGCGTCTATATGAGACAGACCTTTATAATTTAGTGTTGAGATGTCGTTCATTGAGTGTATAGGCCTGTCTCTAATCTCTAAAAAATCTCCAAATGCTCTACGTGAAACTGCGGTCTTCCGACCTTTTACTATCGCGTCAATTGATTTTGATTAAAGCTGCAGTCCGGCATTTTTCCTCTTTGTCGCCATCTCTGTTCGAAATCTGCAATTGCAGTCATTCGCGGAATTATCAACTTTACGTGGGTTGTAGTTCAACACCCTCGACACGGCACAGCGCGGATGAACACAGTGTTTGAGGAGACTGTGAGGCTGTCAGTCACCGTGCCGGTGTGGATATTGTCATTCAGAATCACAGATTATTCTTTTTGGAAGTATGACCAACATAAGAATTTTCACCGGGAAATGTCATCTGAACTAGTAAGAAACATTCACTTTTGTTCTGGTTCTGACATTGCAGTAAATCGCGCTGATTAAATCTAACAATTGCTTATAAGTTATAATTTCACGCAAAACCGTGCAAAGTAGCTATACTATGTTCTCTACTTGTTAATGTTAACAACGTCAGCAAGCATTGCGTGACTACATCATGTAATGTCCTTCCGATATTATCCTTGTTTTCGCATGGGTCCGGTTGCAGTCTTTTTTTTTCTGTAGCCACTCCGAAGTCTGAACGAAGTCTTTTGCATTTTACAGCGGGTGAGTCTCTAGTTGTCACTGATGATGATCGTCGTTTGAACCTTTCTGGATCCGCCATCAAATTATATCAAGTGCTGTGAGAAAAGGCTATAAATCTCTACCTCCAACATCCTCACACGCAATATAGCTTATACTAGCCGAGACTCCTTCTTTATGTGTACAGATGTGACGTAATGACGCAATGACATGCTCGAATCTCCCGCGGAAATCCACCAGTACCACTAAAATTAAAAACATTATTACAAGCTTACCGTTTTGCATCGAGCTAAGGCAAGCAGATAGTTTTGAACACTGGCTGGTTATGTATTTTATCAAATATGTATTTTGGATAATTTTTAACCCAAAAAAAGCTACGGACAGCAGCTTTAATATGCGCGAGGGAGAGAGAGCAAGACAGCGCTCGTTGTTTGAAGACGGGAGAGTGCGCGCGCGCGGTCGGGGCGCTCTCTCTCTCTCTCTCTCTCTCTCTGCTCGTAACGCGCCCTGTCAAGCGCAGCAGTCATTCTATTCTACATCACTCATCGATCAAAAAAAGGCTTTGGAGGGACAAAAATGTGCTTTGGCGGCCGCCAAAAAGCGGGCGATCTAGCGGTTTTAGAGGATTAAATACAACCCGAAACTAAAAAACAGACCCGGCCTCTATTTGAGACCGGCCTTTATTTACCCAAACCTGCAGCCACACCAGGCGTGTAAAAGAGACAGGCGTCTATTTGGGACTCGGCTATTATTTGAAGTTTTACGGTATATCTATATGAAACAATTTCAAAGTCTTTTCAAACACACAGTATTGTTATTTCTTTGTTCCAAATATTATTATTATCCCAGAAGTACTGGCAAAAAAGTTAATAGTTCAGATAACACTGACTACGTTTACATGCAGCCAATAACCCGTTCAAAACCGGGATATTAGCAATAACCCGGTCGCGAACGGCCATGTAAACACCGGCAAAAACCCGAATATGCTCATATCCCGGATTTTAAAAACCGGGATATTATACCTGGGGTACCCCTTTTCTAACCCGAATTTTTGGTCATGTAAAAACGCGCATCGGCATATCCCCATAGTGATGTGTGTTCTGCGCATGTTCTATTCGCAAGGAATCTTGGTCTTTTGAGTAGAGAAACTTCTCGGCGCATACAAAAACCCGCGTGCAGTATATCGGAAGTAAACATGGCGAGACGCAGCACAGCGTACTTTTGGAGCGAGGTCAGTACCAGCACCAAAGCGCAAACAAAGGCGATCGCTATCTGCCCCGAACTATTCATTATCCGCGTGCTGCTGTTGTTGTTGTCTTTAGTTTGGATACAGGAAGAAGAATCGGAAATGACCCATATTGCGTCTTAAGGTTGTCCGTACGTCCAGACGCTAACCGCGCGTCGCGTTTACATCAGGATATTGCAATTCCATGTATACTGGAATAACTCTCTCTGCTCACGCATGTAAACGGGTTATCCCTAATGTTTCAGAAACCCGAATAGTGACCTTAACCCGACCATAACCCGAAATTTGGCTGCATGTAAACGTAGTCACTGATGTATACATAAGTGATTTTGAAAGTAACTTGCCGCTTCAAATAACGATTACATCGATTACATCTTTACGCCAGGTGGCGACAAGAGACTGTTAAAATGTATTTGTCATTGAATCGTTCATTCAAGAGATTTGTTCAAAAACGCTAATTCATCCAGTAATGAAACAAGTGAAGAATTTATAAGTGAGTCACTAAATCATTCATTCAAACCGAGTTCTTTTTTATAGCCGAATTCAGGTGAAGTAAACATTTTAAATAGACTGCACTGCAGCAGTTAACATTTTGTCAGAACCTCTAGTAAATTACATTATTTTGTTTAGTTGTTTGTTTAGAATCGTGATCTCAATTTATCCAGAATCGTGCGGCTCTAATTTTCAAATACATTTTTTAATATATACAAAAGAGTGTAATTTCCTCATATGCTGACTGTAGTATTTCTTAAGATATTTTTTTTTATCTAAATGCATTAACATTGTCCAAAATTGCATTTATGCAAATGTATTTTAAGAAATCATCCTGAAAATGGATGTTCTTGCCTCTATTTTGTAATATATTTTGGCATTTTAAAGGTTTAAAAAAATGTTTTTCAATTTCAGTCTTCCCTAAGGTGTGCTTTTTATTTAGCAAATGATTGAATATATATATATATATATAGTCGTATGGGGTGGACAGGAACTAATTTGGGTCATTTTATTCAAAACATATGAACTGCCGCTACAGTCTACTGGTTTTCTGTGCGCTCACTGGCATCTCTTTTCGAGTGAGAGAGGTCCATTCCTTGAGCTGTGCCGTACAGACATATTCTGCAGCCCATGATCATGAGGAAAGCCCTACGGAAGGAACGGTTGAAGAAACCATAGAGAAAAGGATTTAGGGAGGAGTTGACGTACCCCAACCACAGGAACACGTCCCAAATCACACCAGCAGTCCCGTACTCAATGAATGGATCAACGATATTAACGGTAAAAAAGGGCAGCCAGAAGAGAAGGAAAACCCCCATAATGATGCCCAGAGTCTTGGCTGCTTTTCTTTCCCTCCTTATAGAGTTGCGGTGTTTTTGTTTCTTACTCGAGTCCTTGCCCACACCTGCCGCCATCTGCGATTCCATCGCGCTTATTTGCATGGCTTGCCGCTTGGCCGCCTTGTAGATCTTCCAGTAGGCCACCAACATGGTCACCATAGGCAGGTAAAACGCGACGAGGGATGCCATGACGGCATAAACGCGGTTTACTAAGAAGATGCATACGTTCTCAGGCAAAGGAACGTCCACGCCAAGCTTGTGCAGCCCGAGGAAGATTGGTCCGAAGGAGATGAGGAAAGGAACGGCCCAGCAAACCACGATCAGCAGACTGACACGTTTGAGGGACATCTTAAACGAATACACCAAGGGGTTGCAGACGGCGTAATAGCGGTCAAAAGCGATGCAGCTCAAATGGAAGATAGAGGCCGTGCAGAGCATAACATCCAAGCTGGAGTGAAGATGGCAGAAGGTTGGACCGAAATACCAACATCCCTCCACTGTTCTGACCATACTGTACGGCATAACCACAAGGCCCACCAGGAAGTCAGCGACAGCCAGAGACATGACGAAATAGTTCGTAGGGCACTGCAGCTGTTTGAAGTAAGCAATGGCGAGCACCACCAGGAAGTTTCCGACAACGGTGCAGACGATCCCAGCGATGATGAAGACATAGAGGGCGGCTCGCGAACCAGAGCTCCTCAACGTGGCACAGGCCTCGAAATCGGCATCGAGTGAAACGTTGCTCCATTCCGTGGAGTTTTCCATGCTGTTCAACCTGGTGATAAACGAGACACATGCGTTCAAGATGTATTCCCACGATCATTGATAAATGCTTTGTTTGTTCTCACAACACGCTGTTTTTTAGAAGACCAACAAGAATGCTTGTTTCAGATGATATATGCGAACAAAAATGGCTGTGTCGTTTCACCACACAATAATAATTAGTCTATTTCACCATTCATATTTTTGCTAAGTGACAACTGCCCATGAAGCTCCTGTAAGGCTGGGAAAAGCAGAACATACTGCGAAACCCAAGCCAAATCTGCAATAAAAACAATATTTCTGATCTTTTAGTTCTGGGTATCTGCCAAGAATCATAAAAAGCCCCTCAACTCGACCTTGTCTCAGGAACTGTATCCCTGCAGTGCGCCCCATCTTGACCTTTTGGATTATACTTAACAGGCAAACCTAAAATGTCATCAGCATTGTTACAGTTTAACTTAGGGATTTGGATGTGAGCAAAAACATGAGTTTGAAAGCATGCAGTCTTACTGTCTGACACATATATTTTTTCATTATTTGAAACAATTCAAGGGGATGGTGTAATGTATTACAATTACATTATTAATGGAATTCTAAAAATAACATATTTGAGATTGAATGAAGAAACCTTCCATTGCACGTTCTTCTTGTAAAATGTTCGTCGTGTTTAACTGAAACCACCGATGAATTGTCTCGCATCCAGTCAAGCGGAAGAGAGTGTCAGTTCCTAATGAGTGACAGGCATGTTCCTCAGCCCATGACAGAACCTGAAAACAACATCTGGGGATGTTTGACGGAGAGGAAAAATTAAGGAAAGTGCAAAAAAAAAAAAAGGTTTTAGTTCAGTAACAATACAATTTTAATTACCACCAATGGGACCGTGTGACAGGGAAAGAGGTAATGCTTAACATTTTGCTCTTATTTTCCAAAATCCATTAAAAAAAGTTAATTTTATAAAAAACAAAAAATGTTTTAATGGTTCATGTGTGGATATCAGCAATTGGTACTATTGCTTATTATAATTTTAGTATTTTATTTTAGTATTTTTTCGCTGTCTGCATTAGCACAAATGGAAAAGTTCACCCAAAAATGAAAATTCTGTCTTTATTTATTCACCCGCATTTCTGTCCATATACAGTAGCAGTTCAAGGTGACCAAATCTGTCCAGCTCCAAAAAGGGCAAAAACACCATTAGATTATAAAAAAAGTAGTCCATACAATAAATGTGCTATATAGATATTTTAAACTCAAAACACATCTATTAGAATCAGTGGTGTTTTGACATAAATTATTTTCACTCCACATTTTGATTATGGAATATAGCGCACAACTCGTATAAGTCGTCCTTTTGGTCCTGCTTGAAAAATGCTTTTATGAAAATCTGCAAAAGATCACAATATAATATAACAGCATATACTGGTTTGAAACGACATTAACTGACATACATTTTTGTTTATCATGGGCTATTGTTTTAATAATCTTTTAATGAATAATACAATTTAGAATGCTGTAGATGTGTCCCTATAACAAAATGTTTTATAGAGACTGAGTATGAAGATTGGCTCAAAAATAGAGGAATGCCAAATGGCTTTCAGTCCATACTCTATTGCACATTATAGTGCAATTTACACTAAAAACTAATTGGAAGAGTAGAATGTGAAATGATAATGATAGAATTCTATCTTTTCCCTTGTTTTATTAGCAATTTTACAAAATGACCGATCGGCGAGGTTAGGACTGCAGACACTGTTCACTTAAATGTATTAACAGACATGTTCATAAACACACTCTATCCCTCTGACACAGCAGGTGAACGTATAGAGACACTATTGCAGTAAGAACCCATGAACATCAAGACAATGTTCTGAGAACACAGTTTAAAGATAAAGGGACACAGGGAGAAACAGATACAGGTGTCTGCGTGTGTGGTCCTTCCTCATTTCAGACACAACCTATTAAACTCAGCCCCACGCTCCACATTACAGATGTAAACACTGACTAATTCTAAGTGCATAATAAAGATATGGGGCCATTTTTGATCCAGTTCATAAAGACATGCAGACCATAACAGAGCGCTCAGCTGTTCCATAACAAAACCTCTCCTTCGGTTATCATGTGAGACAATACACAAGCACTTTTCATGTGTTTATATTCTTGTAATTAACTTACTGGAGTTATTACAAATGACTTGCCATTCATCCCTGTAATCTTTATATTTAAACTAAAGCCGCTGGAAATCCAATAGGATTGTGCTATCAGTCGCTTTGTTTGTTATTCTTGAACAAAACCAATCTCTGGCGCGTTCCAAGCAAAACAATTGACCCATATCAAACCGTTGCATTCTGCCAGCTCACTTAAAATACGTTTTTGCTTTACTTTCAAGGAATTGGAGGGAGAGACTGGACCGGGCAGGAATGGCCATTTGAGTCTACAAAAAGCGGGCTGCATAAAACTCACCTTCCCACACTAACAAGGAGACGAACAGACCTGTCAGTCATAAAGGGAATCACTTAGAGAACATTCAGGGTTCATGATTATGTAAACTAAAAAAAATAAGAATAACAGTGCAAAAGTTGATCTACATACCAGCTTTTCATACTTAAAGACAAAAAATACAGACATTTGAAAGGTTAAAACAAAATTATGAAATATATAATGCTAATATAATTGATTATTATTAATAATAACATGCTTAAATATGCCATAAGTCTTGGGAGAGAGCTATATTATTATCATTATTATTAAAAAATACTATATTCGTAGTAGTATTAACATGCTTAATGCAATACAAATACTGGAATCAGATCTAATAATAATAATTGATTATTATTGCTTTTATTATTATATATTAAGCATGTTACAATCATGTATTACACGTCAAATCAGAGATGATCTACTCACCTAAATGGGAGTGTTTCTTCTTTCTTTACAATGCCATGTTTATCTGACTCTTCTTGTTTCCTCCATTTCTCCTGGATGAATAGACGAGTGGCAGCTCCATCGGTAAAGTAAGGGTGGTAAAGTGTCTGCGTGTGCGCGTTATTTTGAATATGCCACATTAATAAGCACTAAAACGGTCCTCTTGATCAGAATGTAGGCGGGGCGTGTGTGTGTGTAGGTGCCTGTGTGTTGGGTATTATTAAGAGTTGGGCATTGTTATGCAAATCATCCTCACATCCGACAGATTTCCCGCACTGTTCGCTGTTTCTCAGTGTGGCTAATGCAGACATCAAAGTCACAAGGTAATAAACAGAGAGGTTACATGTTTTCCAAATTGTGCTTGCTGTTTGAATCAGATGAAATGATTGCTTTTGCTAAGCGGAAGGCAGAAGGACACAAACTGCTGTGTTGAGAATCTGGATTTCACAGATACGATCAGTAAACACACTGCATTCCGCTCTGGTCTCAGAGTGAGTTCAGCTCCAGGCCCATACAGAATCTGTGCCCACACGACTCCACAGAAATCTTGGCTGATTATTGGCTGGATCTATAAGTTATTCGACAATAATAAATACACACCTTTGGATAACTTGTGTGGGGCTTAAATTCAAAAATATCCAGGTGCTGAAAGAAAATAAAAAATGTAAGTATCATTAAAAGGGCATAAATTCTTTAAAAATAAATATTGTATTGGCAGTTTGGCATTGTTTTAGCATTGTTTTGTTTCTTAAAAAAATAACAATAATAATAATGATTGATTGCTTAGTTTGGAATATCAATCAGCAATAATTAAACCTTTTAAAAGATTTAATTATTATTTGAAAAACTTCCGCCAATATATTTATATATATAAATCAAAAATACAATAATAATATGTTGAATTGTATTTTTATATTACTTTTTAATTACAGTTGACAGTATTCAACATTTTAGAATAATTAATAAATTATTTATGATGTTTTTTAACCCTTCTAAACTATTAGTTTGGGATGTACACTCAGAGTGTTGGGCTCTAGAGACTCTAGACAATAAAATGTGATTTTGTAACAAAATAATATATATATATATATATATATATATATATATATATATATATATATATATATATATATATATATACATATATATATTTAAAACAAATGTAATATCACTCAGTTTATTATGTTTTTACTCTATATTTGTGCAGTGTTGGAGGGATTAAAGCTATTTTTAAAAACTTGTATAAATAAATCAATAAATATTTTTTTCATAGACATCAATGGGAGACTATAAAAATTGCTTTTTGTTGCATAGTTTGTCAAAAACAATTCAGTTACCAAGCAGAAAACACAAAACATGAAGGGGCGATACCACAACACATCCCTGTCAGACCTTAGCTTCAGTAGTCATGTCAAAGCAATAACTAAATCAGCATACTATCATCTGAAAAATATTGCAAGAATTAGATGCTTTGTTTCCAATCAAGACTTAGAGAAACTTGTGCATGCTTTTATCACCAGCAGGGTGGATTATTGTAATGGACTCCTCACTGGCCTTCCTAAAAAGACCATAAGACAGTTGCAGCTCATACAGAACGCTGCTGCCAGGATCCTGAGCAGAACCAGAAAATATGAACACATCACACCAGTCCTCAGGTCTCTACACTGGCTCCCAGTTACATTTAGGATTGACTTTAAAGTATTATTACTGGTATATAAATCTTTTAATGGGCTATGACCTCAATATATTGCAGATATGCTCACTGAATATAAACCTAACAGATCACTCAGATCATTAGGATCACATCAGCTAGAAATACCAAGGGTTCACTCTAAGCAAGGAGAGTCTGCTTTTAGCTATTATGCCAGCCGCAGCTGGAACCAGCTTCCAGAAGAGATCAGATGTGCTCCTAGTCACATTCAAATCCAGTCTCAAAACACATCTGTTTAGCTATGCATTTACTGAATGAGCACTGTGCCACTGTTCGTCCGACTGTTTTTACTGTACTTTATTTTTTATTCTAAACTGTTTTGATTATTCTTATTTGTTTTGATTATTTTAATTTCTTCTATGTAAAGCACTTTGAATTACCATTGTGTATGAAATGTGCTATATAAATAAACTTGCCTTGCCTTGCCTTGATGGAGTAAACGCTGCACAAATGTAAAAACATTAATACATTGAGTTATATTGCATTTGTTTAAAAAAAAAAAGACATTATGATGTTACCAAATCACACTTTACGGGAGATTTCGGGAGACCCCAAACATCCTGATTGTGACTTTTTTTTTTTTTACGCTGACATTCCAATATTTTTGTTTTGTTTGTAGAACTAGCAAATGTCAACCACAACATCAAATCTCATGCCATTTAGTTGAAGGGAACATTTTTTTTTGTTCCTGCAAACGTCATTTGGGGTCAAAAAGAATGTTCGATAATGTATGACACAAACATAAATAAAAAAGCTAAATTTATAAGAAATATACATATGTTTTTATCTAGATTTTAAAGATAGATAAATAGATTAGGTAGGTAGGTAGGTAGGTAGGTAGGTAGATAGATAGATAGATAGATAGATAGATAGATAGATAGATAGATAGATAGATAGATAGATAGATAGATAGATAGATAGATAGATAGATAGATAGATAGATAGATAGATAGATAGATAGATAGTTTTTTTTTTTTTTTTTTTTACCTCAATTGACCTTGTATAAAAGTATAAAAAGCCTGGGGCATTTGGCACATGGCTATCGCTGTCAGCCATCTTGGATTAATGATGTCATCCAGCAATGAATATTTGGAATGCAAGACAGTAGCCACTGTTACAATATTGCTGTCAATCTACTGACACTCCCCTCAAGTGGTTTGGGGAAAATTACCATGATAAATGAAATATCCACAAATGTGGACAGCATGCATGCAACTATTATAAACATTGCCTTCCAAAGGATTCTAATGCTAAGAATGTGGTAATTTATTTTCATCAATGTGAATTTCTCAGTTAAGCATTATTTATTTGTATTCAGTATATTTCACTGTAGATTCTTTGTTAAATTAGTCACAATTTTGGCGCAGGCTTTGCAAACAGACTTTGACGATATGGACTCGACAGTAAAGCAACAACATGTAAGTAACGGTGTTAATTCTAATGCCTGATCTGTGACCAGTGATTTCTGATATGTAATGATTCATGTAAAGTCAGATTTTTTTTGTCTTTGTCTCAGTAAAACAAACCAGTGACTAAACGGTCAACTTCACATTGTTCCCTTTCGAAGGGAACTCAACAATACGTCATCGACGTTATGGGGAACGCCTCAGGCGTGACAGGTGTCTGAAATCAAATATCAACTCACAGCAATCATGTTGACCGGCGACAGCCCGTGCATCATCAGCTCGAATGATGAGCGCGCAACCTGGATGTATAAAAAGGGTGCCTTGAAACCGTGACAACATCTTTTCGTCTTCAGGGACTGTTTGTCTGTTTTTTGAGTAATCAACAAAAAGAAAATGAAGCGTGCAGAGAAGGGGAAAAATACTTTCCGCAAGTGTGCCGACCCGTGTCCTAGATATTTGACACCGGAGGATTCACACGATCTGTGCGTTTTCTGCCTGGGAGAAGAGCACGCGCGGGGAGTTCTCGAGGGAGCTTCCTGCGCAAACTGTGAGCGGTTTTCTCTGAAAATGCTCCGTTCTCGTCTGTCCCACTTCTCGAGGGAAGTGGGCGCGGCATCTGAACCCCGCGGTTTTGGTCCCGCTCGGGCTGAGGCTCAGCGGCGCTTGAGCTCGTGGGGCTCTCAGATGGAGCTGGCAGATCAGCTGGAGAGTAGCGTTAACCTCGTGGATGATCTGCCAGCTGACGAGGATGAGTTACAGGTCGATATAGAAGAGGTTCTTTCTCTTTCTGATGGGTCTGTAACTGGGTAGTTACACGAGCTAGTTTCGCTGCTGTGGAGGGAGCCGCGGAGCACGGGTATGTGTCGATGCCGCCTGTGGACGAGACGTTGGCTAACTATCTCGCCTCTGGTCGGTCGTCTTCACTAGAAGCTCCGACCCTGCCATCCAAGCCGCTCAGGACAACTTCGCGCTTGAATGGCAGAGCGTACACGGCAGCAGGTCAGGCGGGTGCGGTTCTGCACACCCTCGGGGTCCTTCAGGCCTACCAAGCCGAACTGCTGCGGGACCTCGATCAGGGGACCGGCCTGTCCCCTGATGCGGTCGCGGAGCTGCGCCGCACCACGGATTTGACTCTCCGGGCCACCAAGCAGTCTGCGGTTTCCATCGGTCGTGCGATGGCTGGTATGGTGGCCACGGAGAGGCATCTGTGGCTGAACCAGGCTGACATCGGGGAGAAAGAAAAAACTTTTCTCCTCGATTCGCCGGTTTCGCCTTCCGAGCTTTTCGGACCTTCTGTCGAGACAGTGGTCGATAAGTTCAGGGAGGCAAGGGCGCGCTCTGCAGCGTTTAAGAGCTGCATACCGCAGAGGTCCTCGGCCCAGCCCAGGCAGGCGGGAGGGCCTGGTCCGTCGTGGTCTGAGGATCACAGACGGACCCAGAAGGCCAGTGTCGCTTCCCGTGCACCCCCTCCTCCTAGCAGGGGGAGCAGGGCGCGCAGGAGGCATAACTCCCGCGGGAGGCAGGATCTCAGGGAGGTGATCCAGAGTAAGCGTTCTCAGACTGAACGTTAGACATCACCTTCCTGGATCTTGTCTCCTTACCACCATCGTGCCAGGCTCCTCCTACATCAGGCCTGGGGCGGGGCCCATGATGAGTTCAAGAACTCTCTGATGGCCCGCTTCAGCTTGGTTGTTAGGAGCGCCTTCCCTTGGCTTGTGAAACAGTAGAATTCAGGTTTCTGAGTTCCTGAGTCCTGGTGTGCTTCATTTCGCACGTTGCAGGTTTTATGTTGAGTGAAAATGTTTTTTCTGCGCAAATAACATTTTTCTCTTCTTTTTCAGAACTCGTCTCCTGTACAGAGCCGGGGACATGTTTGGTAAGCAAAGGTAATGTATTGTAAGGTGAGCTGAGCTCCCACATGTTGTGGTCGCCAGGTTACAGGCCTCACCAGGCATTCCAGGCTATGAGCTTCCATATGTCAGGTCACAGGCCTTATCCAGCCTTCCTGAATATGAGCTCCCACATACTGTGGTTATCAGGTTACAGGCCCCACCCGGCCTTCCTGATATGAGCTCCCACATACTGTGGTCGCCAGGTTACAGGCCTCACCGGCCTTCCTGGTTATGAGCTCCCACATACTGGGTTTCAGGTTACAGGC